TGTGTCTACCACAGTGAATTACATACTAATTTAAAATCATATACTTCTGTGTATGCCTTACATAGAGTGTGAACAACTAGATGACAGGGATTGTGCTTTATACTTTATTGAACTTTGTTTATTCATGGCCAAGCAATATGCTTGCACCATAATAGATAAAAGCTCAACAAATCAATATAGAATGATATTATGACAATATCAATTATTTTCTATTTATTTACTAATTTTTGTTAAGTTTTGGTACGATTACTTCTATGTCAAATAGTGAAGGCAACATGAGCCGGGCGTGGTGGCTCATGCCTGTAATCCCAACACTTTGAGAGGCCGAGGCGGGGTGATCACTTGAGGTCAGGAGTTTGAGACCAGCCTGGCCAACATGGTGAACTACTGTTTCTAATAAAAATACAAAACTTAGCCAGGCATGGTGGTGGGCACCTGTAATCCCAGCTACTCAGGAGGCAGAGGCAGGAGAATCTCTTGAACCCGGGCGGTGGAGGTTGCAGTAAGCTGAAATCACGCCATTACACTCCAGCTTGGGAGACAGAGCAAAAATCTGTCTCAAAAAGAAAAAAAAAAATGAAGACAACATTATTTCAGTGTAGAAAAACTCCAGGGCCTCTTGGCTAAGACCTCAAAAGGAGCATTGTAAGATTTTAGTTGTGATGTTTATATCAGCCAAAGCATAATGCAAGAGTTGTAGACTTTAAACCATTTGCATTTTTTATTCCTCTGCACACAAATGAAGTTACTGGGGATAAAGGAGGGAGAAATAAGTTAATAAAAATTTGACCACCTGCCATTAGGTACATAAGAGGGAAAAAACGTGACTTGAGACACCTTGCTTTCCCTCAGATCTACGATTAATGAGCCATTTTCTTTTGGGGAAAAAAAAATGCTCTCTTATCCCTAAATCTTTAAGCACTTGTGGTAAGCAACACCACAAATTCAAGACATCTTCAAAATTCTAGACTTCTTTGATATTTGAAGCACTGAAGTAAACACAAAATTCACTTGAATGAGAGATGCAAAAGTCGTTAAAGGCATCATTCCATTTACAAATGTGGAGATTATCACCATAGCAGGAAACGAAAGGTTAAATGGCAAACAAGCAATCAGAGAAAAGTAACCAGGATGCTAATAAAAAATACGATGTCATCTGACCTGCAAGTCATGCATGTGACTTTCTTGAGAACAAGTTTTAAAACTTGCTATTTATTTATGGCCATTTATGCAGAATTATAAAGATAATTTATATCTTATAACTACAGTGGAAAAAAAAAACACTTTTCTTTTCCATCATACTATATAGATTGCAATTAAACAAACAAACAATGGTGTGTCCTAGCATGGATTAGTTAACATAACTTGTTTGCTAAAGCTATTCTAATTAAATTGCTAAATTTTAGAATTATAGAAAGCTTCAACTGAGATGGGGCCAAAAAATCATTTAATCATTCCTGGCTTAAGAAACTGTCTCAGAGAATATTAATTAATTGCCAAGATGATGACCTGTTTTTCCTCCAAAGTATATATTCAAGATTTATGGAATCTTTGCCTTGAGTTTATATAATTATAATACACCTGTTGACATTATATATGCCTAGCCCAGGATGTAATACCTACTTGAATGCAAAATAGGTTCTGGAAAAAAAATCTTTCTTAAAATATGTTTGCAGGTTTTTTACTTTTACATCAGTCATCATTTCACTTCTGCTTCAATATTCCCACACACGTCTAGACGAGACTGGGTACCTCATGGTGGTGTGGTCGCAGATGCCCCTGCATGTCCAAAGACTCAGCTCTATTTCCTCCAGTCCCTTTTATTTTCTTTATTGTCCATGTGAATTTTAAAAAATTGTCCTTTTTGACATGTCTTTTGTCAATTTAAACACATTTACCAAAAAGTCAAGATTAAAAATTTTTTGCTTGGCAGTAACTGCACGTCTTATGCTTTCATATTTGGGCAAGTGTCCAGTAAACAAACACCTCTGACCACATCCAATTTTAGCGTCACAGCTCGAAATAAGCATCCTGCCAAAAGCTCTGTTTCTCACCACAGAGTTGCACTGTGCGTGTTAAGTCTTTCCTGTGTACCACCAGAGAAGGGATTTCTGAGGCCACAGTGTAAGTTAGCTTACTGACCAAGAAGACCAATTGATTGTTGGCTCTTCTCAACTAATGAACGTACTCAAATAGTTTATTGTGGTGATGGGTGTTCTCACCACAATATTGTAACTTTTCTTCCAACGATAGTTTTTAAAAGTTACATAAATAAAAAACTTAGAAACTTCTATATGAAGTTTGATCAGGTACTTTTATAGTCAAATTATTCTTTCTGCATAAGTTCATTTATGTTGGTTTTATTCCATTCATTAGAAAGTATTTTTTCTGAAAGCTACACCATGTCCTTTTGCAATTCCACATAGCATAAACCAGTACAAATGCCAAGCAAATCTCCATTAAGTTTACCATCATGACTATAGCAAAGTGAGCATATGTTCAACACTGAGAAAGAAATTGGAGTTTGAACATACTATTTCTTTATCTAAGTAACTGTTTTAACTCAACATACGGGACTCATTTTAGACTATTCTTCTTTAAGAATCCTTTCCATGCTCAGTTGGTTTAGGGACCTTTATATATGATAATAAAACTCTCCATGTGCTTAGCTTTATCATGGTATTTATTTCAAAAATCTTTTTGTAGGTATGTCTTGTGACTTCCCTGTTGGCTGTGAGCTGCGATGTGAACTAAGTGAAATAGGTAGGATATTCAAATGCTCTTTTTTATCCTATTCCTATCCCCTTTACTCAATTTTGTACTTAAGAGAAAAATAATCTCTATTCAGTTGAAAACTACACATATAAAAATAACTCTTCATGAAACTGTGATTCAGGTTTTCCCCATAAAAAGCCTGCATTTACACATTTATTCACTTCCTTTTGAAAACCAAATAGTTGTTAAAATGTGGTTGCAAGAAAATACCAGCTTATACTTCCTCTATATAGATCTATTTTTACTATATAAAATAGTTAATAGAAAATGTTTTCTCTGCTTTCTGCTCTTAGTGTTGAATAAAAAAAAAAGAAAATGTTTTCTCTTAGATACAAAATTGAGTAAAGGGCATAGGAATAGGATAAAAAAGAGCACTTGAATATAATTAATAGAAAATGTTGGTTAGCTGAAAAGAATCTTGGTATATCAGAAAATAACGTATGTTTTTCAACTTGTTTTATATTCGCCTATCTTGTTTAATTTTGAAGTTGCTTTATACTTACTCATTTTCTATCACCTAAACTAAAAAGTAATTTCCAGGCAGGTGTGGTGGCTCACACCTGTAATCTCAGCACTTTGGGAGGCCGAGGCAGTAGGATCACCTGAGGTCAGGATGAGACCAGCCTGATCAACATGGTGAAACCCCTTCTCTACTAAAAATACAAAAATTAGCCGGGAGTGGTGGCACGTGCCTGTAATCCCAGTTACTCTGGAGGCTGAGACAGGAGAATTGCTTGAACCTGGGAAGTAGAGGTTGCAGTGAGCTGAGATCATGTCATTGCACTCCTGCCTGGGCAACAAGAGTGAAACCTCGTCTCGAAAAAAGAAAAGCAATTTTCTTTCTTTCTTTTTTTTTTTTTTTGAGACGGAGTTTCGCTCTTGTTGCCCAGGCTGGTGTGCAATGGCGCGATCTCGGCTCACCGCAACCTCCGCCTCCTGGGTTCAGGCAATTCTCCTGCCTCAGCCTCCTGAGTAGCTGGGATTACAGGCACGCGCCACCACGCCCAGCTAATTTTTTGTATTTTTAGTAGAGACGGGGTTTCACCATGTTGACCAGGATGGTCTCGATCTCTCGACCTCGTGATCCACCCACCTCGGCCTCCCAAAGTGCTGGGATTACAGGCGTGAGCCACCGTGCCCGGCAAGAAAAGCAATTTTCATGTGGGCAAAAACTTTTTTTGGATTGCTTACTTTGACATTCTCAAGGCCTAGAAAAGTGTGTAGCAAATAGCATTTGCTAAAGAAAAAAAGAAACATTGAATAAATTTATGTCTAACTTTAATACATCACCAAACGAAAGTTGTTTTACTTCCTTATATTTCAGAGTTTTGGAATTAATAACTTTGATTTTTGTTAAAATTTTATAATCTGTTCATCTTATATTGCTTTAAATGATATCTAATGATATTTTAAATTAATAAATATGAATAAAATATATATTTAGCTAATCTTGCTCACTGATATCAACTCATATTATTTACTTATTTTGGCATATACTGGGGTATATATTTAAGTTTCTAATTCTTCTGCATATGACATATATTTGATAGATATTTAATTTCATATTTCTATGTTAAAATTTAAAATTTCCCTGGACTAATTTTTTTTTAACTTAAAGGCCAGTGTGATAGTAACCCAGGACTAATTATTGAATAGGAGCTAATTTCTCACTTTATCTGCAATGTCACCTTATGTTTTTTAATTTATGCACATGACTTTTTCTTGTCTTTTTCCTTTCTCAGTTTGTCTATGTTCACGTGTCACTGTCTTTATGAATATGGTTTTAACATATGTCTTCATATCTAGTAGAACAAGGCTCCCACATTTTCTTCACCTTCAATAGTGATTTTACTAGACTTGACTTGTGTAATTTAATGTACATTTAGAATTCTGCTTTGTAAGTAACGCAATAAAACCTGAGGTATTAATTGGAATTAAATTGAATCTCTAAAATATTAAGGATTTTAGAATTTGGCATCATTTAAATTCATCATTTTCAAGTTCTAAAATGTTATTAAATGTAATGGAAAAACCACAACTACTTTTACACCCACCTAACATTTATCAAACAATGGTGGTCCCATCTCTTTTACCAAATTAGCAACAATATTTTGTGTGGTGATAAGGTGGAAATACTGTGGTTTGTGTTACGTTTTTCCACAGGAAGATGAAATTATAATATTTGTCGTATCTTTCTCAAAGATAAAAATTTACTGAGTATCTCTACTTTCAATTCAAGATCAGGAACTCGGGACATGTCTAAATTTTCTAGTTTTATAGAAGGCTTTTATCCACAAGAATCGAGATCATCCCTTTCTGAGCAGGTGTGTGTATGTGTGTGCATGTGTGCGTTTACTATTCAAGATGTGAGGAACTATATTTCAATTCAAAAAACTAAAATATTTACACTATAAGGTAATTCTAATTGTTTCTTAGGTGCTTGAAAAGAACTCCTGAGATAGAGAATGCTTATCATTTCTGCTGTATGTGCTATCATCGTATCTGATGATAGGTAATTAGAATATATTTACTGAAGAATTAGAAGTTGTAATGTTACCATAAAAAGAAGCTTTGTCTCTAAGAAAAACTGGAAAAATGAATCTACATTTAGAATTAAAGGAATTGAGTTTCAATTTGAATTCTCAAATTTATGAGTTTTCTGATGTTTTGGGGGCAACCTTTGATACACATCTTTACATGCAAGGTGAAACAAGTTATATCTGTGCTTTCCAACTATCATAATTAAATGTGAAATAGCTTTTATTTTTTAAATCTAAGCAGTATGCATATTTATTAAATAGTTATTTTTTCTGGAAGCTCTGCTATGCATTACTAAGATGTTATTACATAAACACGTGAGATTAGTTTTGTTAATGATGATGGTGACACTCATTTGTTGTTGATGATGATAATATGGGCATGTTGGATTAAAGTGCACTAGAAAGAGACACTCCGCAAAAAGGCAATCACCTGAGTTTAGCTTGCAGAAAACTAAATCATCACTAAATAAAATAGACAAGTAAAAACATTTGATCTTAGTTCAAAGGCCAAGAAGCAATAAACAACTATAAAGAGAAAACTATGTGTGTTGTTATCTAATATCAGTAATATGAAATATTTGTATGAAATATCTCAATGTAGGTGAATTAAAATAGTCATTATCTTGTTATGACATTTCGAAATAATTGGCAATTATTTTTACAACCAAGAGAAATGTATAAAATTAATTTTGCCTGGCTTTATGTGAATTGCCATTCCATTCTTTTCTTAGAGACATGCACAGGGGAAATGTTTCTGCATTTTACTTTTCTATTCAAAATATTGTATCTCACCACAAAGAAAGAGAACAAAACACCCATGCTCGATTTTATTTTGTTCAGGAATCCTTTGTGGATTGAAGACTTTAGATTCTTCTCTGAGGTGGAATTATATGATGGGGTGGATTCGTGGTCGGAGGCCTCGTCACAGATTGGGTATGTTTTTTCCACATAAGTGTGTAGTTTTGCTTTTATACAATTTTAAGATACTGAGAATTTTATACAAGCGCATAAGGTATAGGCAAGCAATTTACTCTGATTCTTTTCATGTTCTGTTTATGTTGATTTCATGTTATGTTCATATTGTATTTTAAATCGAGTCTTCAAAAACTTAAAAAATTTTTCCCTTTATTTTATTAACTCTACTATGGTAAAGTCACTCACAATTTGGGACAACTTGAAATAGAGGAAGAGATGTGGAGTCAGACTTCAATTTTACTCAAACTTTGACCACCCTCTGGATTTGAAGTGGAGTCAATTACAACCTCTATGTAGCTTTGTTCCTTTTTCTGTCACATACAGGCATGAAACATTCCATATTTATCTTAGTAGATTTGTGCAATATTCAAATCAAGTGACATGTATTTTGAAGTGCTTCTTATCTTAAAGGTGTTTATTAATTTATAACTTATTCACAGTTGGTAACATATTAAATAAGCTATATGATTTTGGCCATCTCTAACATTCAATTTCTCCTTCCATAAAGTGATACCTATGCTCTTTACTCCATATGTTTAATAACTGAGTTAGATATTACATTTCCAAACAATGTCTAATTTTAGCTATAAAAGATACTTCATATTATCATTCACTTTATAAAAGGCTTTTGTACAACAAACCCCTGTGATACAGTTTACCTATGTAACAAACCTTCACATGAATGCCTGAACCTAAAAGTTTTAAAAAAGGCTTCTAAGTAAATATTAATCATCAGTAAGTAATTAGTATTTCAAGAAAGCAAAATGATTCTTTAGGTATTTTGTTCAGACTCAATATTATCTGTCCTTGTTCTAAAGCTTTAGATCCTACTACTTTAGCCTGTGTATATCCTTCACTATAAAGAAAATTAGACACTCTAGTATTTACTAAAAGTTTACTAAATGATTGATGTCATTGATGCTAAGTTAATCATATTTTATTTTTAAAATACCCATACTTGATTGTAATAATATCCTCTTCTTTTTGATTTCTTTATTCTTTTGCAAGTTAGGAAACCGGGATGCAAAAGCTAAGTTATTTGTGAAGTTATCAAGTTTGTATATATGGATCTGTGATTTAAATACATGTCTTTCTCCCTATATCTGTCTTTTTACTATATCAAGTCTCTTTCTTGTAATGTTAAGTTTCACGATGCATTACGAATTAATTTTAATAGTATATAGGATTTTGCTACGGATACTTTCCCATGGAATAAATATAATTTTATTTATATAGTAAAGTGTAAACATAATAATGTAGTAATATAAAACAAAAGTAAGTTCATGTTGTACTTTTAAAAGGATACTCGTGGGAAGTACATCGATGGAAACAGCAAGTTGAATTTTTAAAATTTGTGCCCCAAATGGCAGAAAGGCCTTGACTCATATATATAAACCTGAATTCTTTTTCTCTAGCGATGAGTGAATTTCATAATTATAACTTGGAGCTAGCGAAAAGTGATTTTTCAACACGATGGCACAAGCAAAGATGTCCAGTAATCAAAAGCAAATGTAGAGAAAACTGTAAGTCCTGTGTTCCATTTGTCTTCTCTCAGTATATTAAAACGAATCTTGGAAACTATGTGATTAAATCAATGACAATCATTCAGTTTACCTTCATGAGGAAAGTAGGAATAACATGAACTCTAATATAATATTAAAATATATAATAAAATTATGGTATTAAAAGCTACTGAGTTTGGAATCTTTTCATGCCCTAAAAATGATGAGCTTATTTATCAGGAGTTTCTAAGAGAACACTGGGAAAAAAAAAAACAAAACACTAAATAGAAATCAGAAACAGAGGAGAAAAGAAATTTTAAAAATCTTCCAGAGATATGTTCTTAAACATTATAGAAGTGATAACTTGATTATTATTTACAGAATTGTTTCTGAGTGCAGTGAAGACGATATACTCTCCAATGTCTTTTTTCAAGGCAGAATACTATTGATAATAGATCTTTATATAGTTTGTATGAAAAAGAGGAAAACAGATGACCCTCACCTATTAATTTTGATTAAAAACTAAGAAATAAATTATTAACAAATAGCATCACTTTTCCAGAATTAATTTAGAAATGCAAAGTGCTGTCTGCAATAATCCCTCTTTGGACTGAAATTTTCAACTGTTAACCAAAATTTAAAACACACATGCCCTTCCACTCAGCAATTATCATTGTGAGAATTTATCCCAGATCGGGACTAAAAAATATGCACATGGGTATGAAATGTATCATTATTTCTAATAGCAAGATCCAAGAAACAATTTAAATATCCACTGGAAAAAAATTGAAATTCTGTCAAAAATTAGATTCTGTCCAGAGTTGTCAGTGAAATACAATGCAGCTATTTATAAATCTTGTATCCTTATATGCCATGATATGGACTAATCACCAGGATATTGTCTTAGGTAAAAAAAATAATACATGGGATATTTTGTATATTATAGTTTCTTTAAAATGTTTTTTTAATATGTAGTTAAGGGGAATGGTATTTTTTATTTCTTTTTAGTTGACATGGAATAATTATATATATATATGTATGGGATACAGTGACATTTCCATACAACTATACAATGTGTAATGACCAAATCAAGGTAATTGGCATATCCATCACCTCCAACGTTTATCATTTCTTTTTCTACTCTCTACTTCTATGACCTAAAAGTCTTTATCTCCCACATATGAGTGGGAGCATGTGGTATTTAACTTTCCATGCCTGGTTTACTTAACATAATGTGCTTCTGACTCATCCATGTTGGTGCAAATAATAGAATTTCATTCTTTTCACACTTTTTTTTATGACTGAATGGTATTCCATTGTGTGTGTGTGTGTGTGTGTGTGTATGTATGTTTGTGTGTGTGTGTGAATACACATCCATATATACATATACATGTATATATACACATATGCACACATTTGGTTTAGCCATTCTTCTTTAATGGACACAGGTTAATTCCATATCTTGGCTATTGTGAATAACACTGCAGTAAGCATGGGGATGCAGACATTGCTTCAATATACTGATTTCCTTTCCATTGGAGAAAGAGTGAGATTGCTGAATCATACAGTAGTTTTACTTTCAGTTTTTTAAGGGACCTCCATACAGTTTCCATAATGACTATACTAATTTACATTCCCACCAATATTATATAAACATTAGACTTTCCATGAATCCTCACTTTCATTTGTTATTTTTGTTTTTTTTAATAATAGCTATTCTAACTAGGGTGAGATGATATCCATTTGTGATTTTGATTTTGGTCTTCTTAATGATGAATGACATTGAACTTTTAAAAAACATATTTGTGGCTATTTGTGTTTCTTCTGAGAAATATCTATTCAAATCCTTTGCCCATTTTCAAATTGGTTGTTGTTGTTGTTGTTGTTTTTGCGGCTGCTGCTGCTATTGCTTCAATTCCTTGTATATTCTGGATATTGGTCTCTTGTCAGAGGAATAATTTGCAAGTATTTTCTCTCATTCTACAAGTTGTCTCTTCACTCTGAATTGTTTCCTATGCAGTAAAGAAGTGTTTTAGTTTGATACAGCCTCATTTGTTTCATTTTGCTTTTGTTGCCTGTACTTTTGAAGTCTTATCGATAAAATCTTTGCCTAATGTCCTATGGCATTTCTCCTATCTATTCTAGTAATTTTATAGATTCAGTTCTTACACTTAAGTCATTAATCCATTTTGAGCTGATTTTTGCATATAGTGTGCGATGAGGGACTAATTTCATTCCTCTATGTGGATATCCAGTTTTTTCAGCACCATTTATTGAAGAAGCTGTTCTTTCCAGTGTATGTTAATGGTGCTTTTCTGGAAAAATCAGTTGGCTGTAAATACATGGATTTATTTCTGGGTTGTCTATTCTGTTTTATTGGTGTAAATGTCTATTTTTATACCAATGCCATACTGTTTTGGTTATTATAGTTTTATAGTGTATATTGAAGTCAGGTAATGTGATGCCACCAGTTTTCTTCATTTTTGTTCAAGATTGCTTTGGCTCTTCAGTCTTTTGTGATACTATATAAATTTTGGGATTTTTTTTTCTATTTCCATAGAGAATGTTATTGGTATTGTGATATGAACTGCATTGAATCTGTAGATTGCTTTGAATGGTATGATTACTTTAACAATATTCTTTCAATCTATGAACATGAGATATCTTTCCATTTTTTTTTTTTTTTGCATTCTCTTCAGTTTTATTCATCAGTATTTTTCATTGTAGAGATCTTTTGCTGTGTGATTAAGTTTATTCCAGGGTATTTTATTTTTTGTAGGTATTATAAATAGGATTAATTTCTTGCTTTCTTTTTCAACCAGTTTGTTATTGGTGCATAGAAACACTTCTGATTTTTCTATGTAGATTTTTATATCCTGAAACGTCACAGAATTTACTTGTTCAAAAGCATGTTTTTAAATTTTCATACATCTGTGCAGTTTCCAAAGTTCCTCTTGTCATAAATTTCTGGTTTTATTCCATCGTTGTTAGAAAATTTACTTGATATAATATTGAATTTTGAAAACTTGTTGAGACTTGTCACCTAACATGTGGTCTATCCTGAGGAATGTTCCATGTGCTGATAAGAAGAATGTGTATTTTGCAGCAGTTGGGTGAAATGTTCTGTACATTTAATTAGGTTCATTAGGTCTAGATTATAGTTTTACTCTGATGTTTCTTTTCTGATTTTCTGCCTGAATGATCTGTCCATTGATGAAAATGAGTGGTTGAACTCCCCGACCCTTATTGTATTAGTCGATTTCTCCTTTCAGGTCTATTAATATTTGCTTAATATATCTGAATGCTGTAGTATTGGGTGCATACGTATACTTATACATATTATACTGCTGAATTGACCTGTTTATCACTATATAATGGTCTTCTTTGTCTCTTTCTTAGTGTTTTGACTTAAAGTTTGTTTTATTTAAGTATAGCAATGCCTGCTCTTTACTGGTTTTTATTTTCATGGAATATCTGTTTTCATCTCTATAGTGTCAGTCTATGTGTGTTTTTACAAGTAAAGTGAGTTTCTTATAGGCAATATATAGTTTCGTTTTGTTTAATCCATTCACTTACTCTATATCTTCTACTTGGAGAATTTAGCCCCATTGTATTTAATGTTATTATTGGTAGATAAGAACTTAACTATTGTCATTTTGTTCCTTGTTTTCTAATTCTTCCTTTCTTCCTGTCTTTCTTTATGATTAAGTTCCTTTCTCTGGCAGTGTATTTTAATTCCTTGATTTTCATTTTAGTGTATCTATTATAGGTTTTCGTTTTGTGGTTGCCGTGAGACTTACATGGACATCTTATAGCTACAGCAATTATTTTATACCAATGACAACTTAACTTTGATCACAAAGAAAAGAAAAGAAAAAACTAAACAACTCTGCACTTTAATTCCATCTCCTCTCACATGTTTAGTTATGTTTGTGTAGATTTACATCATTTTTACACTGACTATCTCTTAACAAACTGTAGTCATTATTATTTTGACAGAGCTGTTTTTTGGTCTTCATACTAAAGATTTGAGTGGTTGATGCACTACAACCACCGTATTAAAATATTCTGAATTTGTCTGTGTATTTACTTTTATCAATGAGTTTTATACCTTCAAATGTGTTCTTAGTGCACATTTGTGTTCTTTCTTTTCTGAGTGAAAAACTCTCTTTAGCATATCATGTAAGACAGATCTGCTGGTAACAATTTCACTAAACTTCTGTTTGCCTGAGAAATACTTTTTCTCTCCATCGTGTTGATAGTTTTGTTGGGTGCAGTATCTCAGTTGGCATGTTTTTTCCCTCAGCTCTTTGAATCTGTCACCCCACTTCCTCTTGGCTTGTAAAGTGGCTGCAAAGAAGTCTGCTAACAGATGTGTTGAAGCTTCTTTTTATTTTATTTTGCTTTTTACATTTTGTTTCCTTTAAAATTCTCACTTTGTTTCAACCTTTGAACATTTAAATTTTATATGCCTTGTGGTCATCTTATTTGGGTTGAATCTGCTTGATAATCTTCGACCTTCCTGTATTTTGTTATTCATATCTTTCTCTGGGTTTGGAAAGCTTTCTGTTTGTCCACAGCCTCCCAGACCAGTGCTGTGACAGTACTTGCCCAAGGTCCATGGTTACTGTGGCCAGCAGCCACTGAAATTTTCTTGGGACTCAAGGCCACTTTAGTCAGCTGGTGGTAAAGTGGGCTGAGACTAAGTTTCCTCCTGCCTAGGCAGTGGACTCCCCTCTTTGCCCATGATGGGTCAAAATGCTCCCCGTATGAGCACTGGTTTGAAATCAAGGGCCATGGGGTCTCTGTCTTTTGCTATGTTCCAATGTGGTGGGGCCAGTACTAGGTTCCACACAAAGTCTCACACTTTTATTTCCCTTTCCCAAGCAGGCAGTTTCTCTCTAAGCACCGCACTACCTGGGTTTGAAAGAGGAGTGGTTAGGCAAGGCCAGGCCATCCTTTCTTACCTCTTTGATGTGTGTGTGTTTTGTTTTGTTTTGTTTTGTTATAATGCTAAAATCAGAATACTGTGATAACTCGCCTAATTTCTTGAATTCTTCTGAAGCTACTTTTTTGCAAGGATAGTTATTTAATTCGATGTTTCTGTGAGACGATCATCACTGAAGGGTTCTTCACAGCCACTTGCTCTTCTGTCATGTTCTTAATTGTTTTCTGGTATACATATTGTTCTGCATACTTACTGCTTTTTTCTCCTCTATTATTGCTTTTTTTATCTTTGTGGTTTGCTGGTTCTCTGTGGTGATAATGTTTGATTCCTTTCTCTTTCTTATTTGTGTATCTGCCCTACCAGTTTTATGCTTTTGTATGTTTTCATGATGATAGATATTATCCTTTTGCTTCCAGATATAGGACTCCCTTAAGCAGCTCTTGTGCGGCTAGTCTAGTGGTGGTGAATTCCTTCAGTTTTTGCTTGCCTGGAAAAGAGTATTTCTCCTTTATTTCTAAAGGATAGCTTTGCTCGATACAGTATTCTTGTTTGGCAAAAGGTTTTTGGGGGGGATTTTGAATGTATCATTCCATGTTCTTCTGGCCTGCTGCTGGGGAAAGTAGGATTGTTGGCAGTGGTGGCAGTGGGCCCCAAGCAAGTGGCTCTGGGAATCCGAGGGGCACAGGCATGACTCTCTTTATGCTGAGGACACACTCCCTACTTGGCTGCATCACTTGTTCCCTGGACATAGGGCTCTGTATGGGCTTGATGCAAGGGTCACACCTACACCATTGACTGGGATCACGTGGTTACTAGGCTGCAGTCCTCTCGCTGGGTTTGGTGTGATGTCAGCAGGGCCCCAGGCTTGTGAAGATGCAGAAGCTATTGGGCCCCCAGGATGTGAAGATGAAGGAACTACTTGGTGGTGGCTACAGTCTCAAACTGGTGCAGTGCTGCAGCACCCTGTGTATGTGAGAAGGCAGAGGAGCCCAGTGTGAATTCCCACTCTGGAATAATGCAGTTATGTGGATTCCAGTAAACTCCTTATACTGGACTTGGGGCCAGGGAGGAATGCGGAGCTCTCCTATAGCTAGGATAGCAGGCATTTGTAATGGGAATGTGGACTTCCCGGGAGCTCCTGTTTACCTTTTCTCCTCAATGGAGAGTCCCTCTTGGCTCCAAGCTGATCCTTGTCACCTGCTTCTCTTCCATTTCTATGCTATCACCCTGAGTGTCTGTGCCTCAGAGAGACTTGGTCGCTTTCTTGCTGAATTCCAGCATTCTCCCTTCAACACTCCATTCAATGTGTGGTTATCTACTCATTGTTTTGGTCCCTCTTTGTGGAAGTGAGTGCTGGGTGCCTGTAGTTTGCCATCTCAATGATGCTTCCTCTTTCTTTGTTTATGTTTATTATTGTATCTGCATAGAAAATAATAAATCATAAGCATAATTTACTCTTGGGGTGACTGGGGAACTTTTACAGAAGTATTGGAGGAAATAGTACATTGTTGTACTCTTAATTTTTGATCATTTGCAAGGTATTCACATTCTGTTCTGGGAAAAAAAATTGAGGCAGGAAAAGGACCTATACTACCTTCTCATTAAAAAAGTAACTCTAATATTTATATTAAATACAAAGACACCCAAACCCTTTCTGCTTCCTTCTCTGATCTGTCTCTTTTTTCTTTGACAGCATCTCCATTTTTTTTCTGCTGTTTCATTGCTGTAGCTATGGGAATCCGTTTCATTGTTATGGTAACAATATGGACTGCCGTATTCCTAAATTGTAAGTGATAATAGAGAGGTAGATTGCAACATTGTTAATTTAACAATTATAATGTACTGCCTTTGTTAGTATTCAGAAACACAGAAACATAAACCAGAAATATTAAATATTTACCTTTGTCACATTTTTGGCATTAGCCCAGAAATTTGTAAACTATATTTGCTTATATTAGAAGTTACTAACAATACAAACTTTTTAATATTTACGGTTATTTTAATAGCATTATTCAACCAAGAAGTTCAAGTTCCCTTGACCGGTAAGTGAATTTTTAAGACATTTTAGAGCATATATTATATGTATTTACCTACACTATTGTGTAGGCATGTATTGGATGATGTAAAAAAGGAAAAAGTAAATAATTAATTCTAGTCCATAATGCACTATGGCTTCTGTTTTCCTTTTAACAATGAGGGAATACTTGTAAAAGCAGAGGCTACTTAGGTTTGACATCCTTGTCTCTCTCTCTCTCTCTCTCTCTCTCTTTTTTTTTTTTTTTTTTTTTTTGAGATGGAGTCTCTCTCTGTCTCCTAGGCTGGAGTGGAATGGGGTGATCTCAGAACTCCGCTTCCCAGGTTCAAGAGATTCTCATGCCCCAGCCTCTCAAGTACCTGGGACTGTAACCTCTACCTCCTGGGTTCAAGTGATTCTCGTACCTCAGCTTCCCAAGTAACTGGGACTGCAGGCATGTGCCACCACACCTGGCTAATTTTTGTATTTTTGTAGATGCGGGGTTTCACTGTGTTGACCAGGCTGGTCTCAGACTTCTAACCTCAAATGTGTCACCCGCTTAGGGTCGCAAAGTGTTAAGATTACAGGCAGGAGACACCACGCACTCCCTGGCATCTCTCTATGCATATGTAGAGATATGTCTTTGGTTATGACTGTAATAATTTAATAATCTGAAATTTTAGCGTTGGAGTGAGAAAGACATTTAACTTGTCTAGATAAAATCTGCTATAATGTTCAGGTGTATGGTATTAATAATATATTCTCTCTTTCTAGAAAGTTACTGTGGCCCATGTCCTAAAAACTGGATATGTTATAGAAATAACTGCTACCAATTTTTTAATGAGAATAAAAACTGGTATGAGAGCCAGGCTTCTTGTATATCTCAAAATGCCAGCCTTCTGAAAGTATACAGCAAAGCGGAACAGGTTGAGTATTTAATTTAATTTCCCATCCTATATTTAATCCTAACATCTGAGGCAACTCACTGGAATATGAACCTGGAACGTAAAAGAGACACTGTGACTTGGTTATTCTAATAACAACCCTAAATCTTTCTTCATTAAAAATAACAAAGCACAGAAATTGCAGGCAGCATGTATGTGTTGCCCAGATGGAAATTATGCTATTTAGGGGACAAAATGTATTTTTTTACAAGTGTGAGAACAGATGAAATAGTTGGCCGGGCGCGGTGGCTCAAGCCTGTAATCCCAGCACTTTGGGAGGCCGAGGCGGGTGGATCACGAGGTCAAGAGATCGAGACCAACGTGGTCAACATGGTGAAACCCCGTCTCTACTAAAAATACAAAAAATTAGCTGGGCATGGTGGCGCGTGCCTGTAATCCCAGCTACTCAGGAGGCTGAGGCAGGAGAATTGCCTGAACCCAGGAGGCAGAGGTTGCGGTGAGCCGAGATCGCGCCATTGCACTCCAGCCTGGGTAACAAGAGCGAAACTCAGTCTCAAAAAAGAAAAAGAAAAAGAAAAAGAAATAGTTATGCTCTTGAATTTACTAAAATTATGAACACTGATTTACTTGTAGTTTATTTGTGGTTGTGGTTTCAAACAGGATTTCCTTAAACTGGTGAAGTCATATCACTGGATGGGACTAGTATATATTCCAACAAATGGATCTTGGCAGTGGGAAGATGGCACCATTCTCTCACCCAACCTGTAAGTCTCTGACCCAAGAGGTCTATAGTTTTGGATTTTTTCCCTAACATTTCCCTGTAATCATTCTAATCACTCATTTCACATAATCTCAGGATATTTGCACATTTTAATAGACCTAGTAAAAAGTGCTTAGGTCCTAAATTTGGGAGAAAGTTATGTTAGTTGTAGAGCAGCAAACACAAATACTAGTGAGTAATATAAATTGTTTACTATATGCTAAGTACTATGGAAGGCAGGTCTAATATTGTGTTCATTTTCCAGATAAAACGACAGGAGGAGAGACGTTAAGTATCACACATATTTCTTTCTTAATTTATTACCAGATATGTTGAGATATAATAAACATTGCACATATATAAAGTATATAATTTGATAAATCTCAAGAAAATATATATGCACAAAACCATCAAGAACATCAATATAATTAACATATAAATTACCTGGAAAACATTCTCTAAGCATGCACCTTTGTGATTTCTCCTGTGTCCCTGCCTACTTACCTCTTTTTCTTTCCAGTCAATCAATTTTCTGTCACTTTAGATTAGTTCGCAATTCATAGAATTTAATATAAATGAAGTCCTTCAATATATATAATTTTAATGTCTTATTTTCACTTAGCAAAGTTATCTTGAGTTTCATCTATCTCATTGCACGAGTAAAGAATTAATTTCTTTTTATCTCTTCATTTATTGATGTATATTTAGGTAATTCCCTGTTATTGATCATTATAAATCATGCTACTTGCTAATATTTGTGTACAAGTCTTTGTATCATATTAATGAAGTCTTTCTTTTCCTTAATATAAATGCCTAGAAACTAAATGGCTGAATCATATCGTAAGTATATATTTAAGTTTTTAGAAAGTGCCACACTGTTATCCAAAGTGGTGGTGATATTTTTCAAATTTACTTTCTCTCTAGCAGTACATAAGAGAAAATCTGAGAGAAAAGTTGCTTTACATCCTAGTCAACACTTGTTTGATCAGCCTCTTAAATTTTATACTGGCTGGGCACAGCGGCTCACGCCTATAATCCCAGCACTTTGGGAGGCTGAGGTGGATGGATGACCTGAGGTGAGGAGTTCGAGACCAGCCTGGCCAACATGGTGAAATCCCGTCTCTACTAAAAATACAAATGTTTTCAAACTCCTGACCCTAGGTGATCTGCCCGCCTCGGCCTACCAAAGTGCTGAGATTACAGGTGTGAGCCACCACATCCAGCCAGAGTAGAGTATTTTATAAGAGTCAATTAAGTCAAGTTGGTTGAGAGTTGCTCAAGTCAACTGCAGTTTTTTCTGATTTTCTGTATACTTGGTTGGTTGGCTGTTTTTTCATAGAGGTATCTGTTAAAACGCACATGCTGAATGAAGAGACCCCCCAAACAGGCTTTGTGTGAGCAACATGGCTGTTTATTCACCTGGGTCCAGGCGGGCTGAGGCCAAAAACGGCATCAGTGAAGGGCAGAGGGATAGGAGTTGGTTTTGTAGATGGGCTGTGGAAAGTTAGTTTAAGGAGGTTTTCTGCAAGTTGGGAGGGGGTTGTAGGGTATGGAGTCACGAGGTTGACCAAGGTCAGTTACAAAGTCCAATGCCTTATCAGTTGGGGCGGGAATAAGAAACAATAGAGAACTCTAAAAGTTAAGTAGGGTTGATCACTTCTTCCTCTTTTCATGGTCTTCTAGTTAGTTTAGATTTTCCAGGAACTCATCTGGAGTGTCCATGCAGGTCACAGAGGTTAACACGGCATCCATGACACCATCAGTCAGGCTAAAATGGTATTTCTAGTTCTAGATCCTTGAAAAATCACCACACTGTCTTCCACAATGGTTGAACTAATTTACACTCCCACCAACAGTGTATTTTTAAAAAAGGCTGGGCACAGTAGCTCACACCTGTAATCCCAAGATTTTGGGAAGCTGAGGCAGGCAGATCACCTGAGGTCAGGAGTTTGAAACCAGCCTGGCCAACATGACAAAACTCCATCTTTACTAAAAATACAAAAATTAGCCTGGTGTGGTGGTGGGTACCTGTAATCCCAGCTACTCAGGAGGCTGAGGCAGGAGAATGACTTGAGCCCAGGGGGCGAAGGTTGCAGTGAGCCAAGATCATGCCATTGTACTCCAGCCTGGGTGACAGAGCGAGACTCTGTCAAAAAAAAAAGTACCAAAGTCTTGATCTGTAATAATGGACATATGTATTCCTCCTTGCAGGTCAAACAAATTTTTGCCTTATATATTTTGAAGCTCTGTTTTCAGTTGCATAAATGCTTAGTATTGTTGCACATTCCTAATGAATTTATGAGTTTAACATTATGTAATGAGCACTTTAATGATATTTTGTGTTTTGTGTGCGACCCGCAGAGACCCTTCCCAAAGCAAATGAGAGCGAGGAGTTGTTAAGCCGAGTCCAGGTTTATTGGGATCTGCGGGAAACCCAGGCGGGAGGGGAGCTGAGCTGCACCCAGCAGCTGCCGGAGAGGGTCTTTATAGGGGCGGTGGCCTGTTTAGGCGAGGTGTTGCGGAGTGATTGGTGGAAGGGAGAGCAGAGGAGGGTTTCTGCGTGCCAGAAGGGGATTGGTCACCTCTTGGCGGGCTTAGGTTTGAATTTTATTGGCTGTCTTGTTTCTAGGCGGACTACTGCAACTGCCAAGGGGTGGGGGATGGGGGTTGGCTTTAGGTTTGGCGGGTTAAGGCTGAGCAGTGATTGGTCGCCCTGCGCTACCAGGCAGAATAGGGTCTGCAGGCGGACTCCAGGAAGTGAGGGACAAAATGGAGGACTGTGGGTTTTTCTACCAAACATTTTGTAATGCTACTTTGTCTAATATAAATACAGCCACTCTAGTTTTCTTTTGTTTAGTACTAGAGTGGTATATATTTTCAGCTTATATTAACCGTGAGTTTCTTGTAGACAGAATATAGTTGAATCTTACGTTTTAAATCTAATCTAACAATTTCTGCTTTTAAAATTGGTATATTCAGGATATTTCTATTAAATGTGATTAGGTATGCTTTACGTTATCCTACTGTTTGTTATTTGTTCCATTTTTTTTTTGTTTGCTTTTTCTTCAGTCTTTTAAAAATATTTTGTTTTATGCTAATGTTTATTATCATCACAGCTTAGTAAATATTTATATTTAGGCTGGGGCTGGTCATGGTGGCTCACACCCTATAATCCCAGCACTTTGGGAGAGCGAGGTGGGTGGATCGCTTTAGGTCAGGAGTTCATGACCAGCCTGGTCAACATGGTGAAACGCTGTCTCTACTAAAAATACAAAAATGAGTCAGATATGGTGGCACACACCTGTAATCCCAGCTACTCGGGAAACTGAGACAGAAGAATCACTTGAACCTGGGAGTCAGAGGCTGCAGTGAGCCAAGATTGAGCCACTGCACTCCAGCCTGGGCAACAGAGCAAGATTCTGTCTCAAAAAAAAAAAAAAAAAAAAGTTTTCTCCCAATAGTGGCCAATTGTTCAATTATAGAACAGAGGTTATTACATTGTTCTTTTAAATAAGGATACCATCAGACCATAATCTTTTCATTTTTTGTCAATTTTACATTGAAGTGACATCCTCACTCTTTCATGAGCTATTTTCCATCTGCTATGAAAGAAAACAAATTATATTAATTAAACAAGTTATATTAATCATATAACTCCAAAAGGTTAAAGATGCTAGAGTAAAACACATATGTAGATGCAGAAATCTCTACATGGAATGCCTAACACATGCACACACACACATACTTATACATACTTGTGAATGTGTGTATATATGTATTAGAAGATTTTAAATTTTGCTTTCGTTTCCTCAGCAAGTAAAATTGCATATATCTGAAGAAAATGTTTTATTTTTCCACAAAACACAGTATCAAATTCTAAGTTGAATTATGAATTTATTTCTAACATAAAATTTGTTTTAAAATAAACATTTTGAAGCTTTCATTTAACTTGGGTATACATATGAAGAGATTTTAGACTTCAGAAGTGATTAGTTTCCAATGTATAAACTAGTGGCATAGAAATGGTGGCACATTATTTACAATAGAAAGGGATTTTTACTTTTATTATCTGAGTTAGCTATATTTTGTTCATGAATTAAGACCAGGTGTGGTCCTAAAATCTCCTAAAATGGTATTAAATTCCCATATATGAAGTTCAGTAGGTATAATTCATTTTCATTTTCCTGCTAATGTAACTTATGATTTTCTCTTCTCTAGACTAACAATAATTGAAATGCAGAAGGGAGACTGCGCAGTCTACGCCTCAAGCTTTAAAGGCTACACAGAAAACTGTTCAAGTCCAAATACATACATCTGTATGCAGAAGACTGCGTAGGGATGATCAGTCATCTCAGTAAAAGCCAGGAACAATGAAGGGATTATACCAGTGGAAACACTGCCAACTGAGACTAAAGGAAACAAAGAAAACAGGACAAAATGACAAAAGACTGCCAGACTTCTTAGACTCCACAGGACCAGACCATAGACCAATTCCAATGCAAACGTGCACGATTCTCCAAGACAAAAGAGTAAAGATCCTGAAGGCAAAGCCTCAAGGCTGCCTCTCCCACCATAAACCCAGAGTGGATGGGCTGGGGGAGGGGTGCTATTTTAATTTCTAAAGGTAGGACCAACACCCAGGGGATTCGTGAAGGAAGAGAAATCCAGCAGATCCCTGAGAGAGCAGCTCCACCTCCACACAAAATTGCCTTATGGGTAGGGCCACAGCACCGAGACACAGCATGTGCAATGCCTTGCTTGCCTGTGGGGGTCATGCTGCCACTTTTAATGGGTCCCTTCCTAACCCTGGGTCAGGAAGGTGAGACTGCTGCCCCAGTGGTCCATGATTATGTTAAGGTTTTATTCTCCAGTCTTAAGATCTTATGAAGTTTCCTTTGCTAGGATTTGGACTTGCTTCAGTTCTGTTACTGTTTCTCTTTCTCTATTTCTTCTTTTTGGAATAGTCATGTCTATCCTATGCTTATCCTACTATTGTATTTTGGAAGCACAGAACTGGTTTGGTTTCACAGGTTCACAGTTAGGGAGGAATTTTGCTTCTGAATAAATAGAATCTTGAGTCTCATGCGTATCTTGTTTGATGATATTTAGCTAAGACTGTAACTGAGAGAGCATGTCCAGCTCCCAGAAATTGGAGATTCTTGGCCTAGCTAACCCGGAAGAATGGGGAAAGGGTCCCCGGTGAGCTTACTGTTCAAATCAATATCGTGGACTCAAAGAGTTTTGCGGAAAAGCGATTTATTAGACAGAGAGGGAGAGAGAGAGAGCTCCCACGCTGTTGTGGGAGGGGAGACCAGAGCGGGAAATCCCTACAGGTAGGAGCAGCTGGAGTTTTAACCATTGAGTTATTCCCTCCCCATTCATGTTGTTGTCTAATGAGAGGACTTCTTTCAAATTTCCTCTGGAGTCATTGATCTTTGATTCTGATACCAGATTGGCTACTTGCTCCACAATCCTGATTTACAGAGCCCCCTCCTCCCAGAGCTTTCAGCGGGATTTTGGGACAAAAGAGCCCCACCTGGCTTTCCCTGCCTGGCCCCCATGGGGAAAGCCAGACAAATAACTTTACATTTGAAACCTCTCTGGTTCCTGGAGGAGGTGCTCAAAGTCAAATTGTCTCTGTTTGCAGATGACATGATTGCATATTTAGAATACCCTATCATTTCAGGTCAAAAACTCCTTAAGCTGATAAACAACTTTGACAAAGTCTCAGGATACAAAATCGATGTGCAAAAAAACACAAGCATTCCTTTACACCAATAATAGGCAAGCAGAGAGCCGAATCATGAATGAACTCCCGTTTACAATTGCTGCAAGGAGAATAAAATACCTAGGAATACAGCTAATAAAGGATGTGAAGAACCTCGTCAAGGAAAACTACAAACCACTACTCAAGGAAATAATAGAGGACAAAAACAAATGGAAAAACATTTCATCCTCGTGGATAGGAAGAATCAATATCATGAAAATGGCCATACTGCCCAAAGTAATTTATAGAGTCAATGCTATCCCCATAAAACTACTATTGACATTCTTTACAGAATTAGAAAAAACTACTTTAAATTTTATATGGAATCAAAGAAGAACCCATATAGCCAAGACAATCCTAAGCAAAAAGAACAAAGCTGGAGCATCACACTATCTAACTTCAAACTCTACTACAAGGCTACAGTAACCAAAACAGCATGGTACCAGCACCAAAACAGAGATATCAACCAACGGAACAGAACAGAGACCTCAGATATAACACCATACATCTACGACAAACCTGACAAAAACAAGCAATGGGGAAAGGATTTTCTATTTAACAAGTGGTGTTGGAAAAACTCCCTAGCCATATGCAAAAAACTGAACTGGACCCCTTCCTTACACCTTATACAAAAATTAACTAGCAACAGATTAAAGACTTAAATGTAAAACCCAAACCCATAAAAACTCTAGAAGAAAACCTAGGCAATACTATTCAGGTCAACAATATGAGCAAAGACTTCATGACAAAAATGCCAAAAGCAATGGCAACAAAAGCCAAAATTGACAAATGAGATCTAATTAAACTGAAGAGCTTCTGCACAGAAGAAGAAGAAAAAAAAAAAAAAAACATAAAAACCCTAGAAGAAAACCTAAGCAATACCATTCAGGACATAGGCATAGGCAAGGCCGTCATGACTAAAACACCAAAGGCAATGGCAACAAAAGCCAAAACAGACAAATGGGATCTAATTAACCTTAAGAGCTTCTGCACAGCAAAAAAAAAACAATCATTAGAGTGAACCAGCAACCAACAGAATGGGAAAAAATGTTTGCAAGCTACCTATCTGACAAAGGGCTAATATTCAGAATCTACAAAGAACTAAAGCAGATTTACAAGAAAAAACAGACAACCCCATCAAAAAGTGGGCAAAGGATATGAGCAGACACTTTTCAAAAGAAGACATTTATGTGGTCAACAAACATATGAAAAAAATGCTCATCATCACTGGTCATTAGAGAAACGCAAATCAAAACTGTGTTGAGATACCATCTCACACCAGTTAGAATGGTGATCATTAAAAAATCTGGAGACAACAGATGTTGGAGAGGACGTGGAGAAATAGAAACACTTTTACACTGTTGGTGGGAGTGTAAATGAGTTCAACCATTGTGGAAGACAGTGTAGTGATTTTTCAAGGATCTAGAACTAGAAATACCAGTTGACCCAGCAATCTCATTATTGGGTACATACCCAAAGGATTAAAACTTGTTCTATTATAAAGACATATGCACACATATATTCATTGTGGCACTGTTTACAATAGCAAAGACTTGGTACCTACCCAAGTGCCCATCAATGATAGACTAGATAAAGAAACTGTGGCACATATACACCATGGAATACTATGCAGCCATAAAAAAGGATGAGTTCACGTCCTTTGCAGGGACATAGATGAATCTGGAAAACATACTCAGCAAACTGACACAAGAACAGAAATCCAAACACCACATGTTCTCACTCACAGGTGGGTGTTGGGCAGTGAGAACACATGGACACATGGAGGAGAACATCACACACTGGGGTCTGTTGTGGAGTGGGAGGCTAGGGGAGGGGTAGCAGGGAGGAGGGAGGTTGGGGAGGGATAACATTGGGAGAAATGCCTGATGTAGGTGATGGGAGGATGGAGGCAGCAAACCACCATGGCATGTGTGTACTTATGTAACAATCCTGCAAGACCTGCACATGTACCCCAGAACTTAAGGTATAATTAGAAAAACAAAAACAAACAAATAAAACTATCACCAAAGTGAATAGGCAACCTATAGAGTGGGAGAAGAATTTTACAATCTACTCATCTGACAAAGGTCTAATATCCAGAATCAACAAAGAACTTAAACAAATTTATAAGAAAAAATAAACAACCCAATCAAAAAGTGGGCAAAAGATATGAACAAACACTTTTCAAAATAAGACATTTAAGCAGCCAAGAAACATGTAAAAAAAAAAAAAAAAGTCCAACATCACTGATCATTAGAGAAATGCAAATCAAAACCACAATAAGATACCATCTCATGCCAGTCAGGATGGCAATTATAAAAAGTCAAGAAACTATGGATGCTGGTGAGGCTGTGGAGAGATAGGAATGCTTTTACACTGTTGTTGGGAATGCAAAGTAGTTCGACCATGGGGGAAGACAGTATGGTGATTCTTTCAGGATCTAGAACCAGAAATACCATTTGACCCAGCAATGCCATTACTGGGTATATACACAAAGGAATATAAATCATTCTACTATAAAGACACATGCGTATGTTTATTTGTGGCACTATTCACAATAACAGAGTCATGAAACCAACCCAAATGCCCATCAATGATAGACTGGATAAAGAAAATGTGGTACATATATACCATGGAATGCTATGCAGCCATAAAAAGGGAGGAAATCATGTCCTTTACAAGGACCTGGATGAAGCTGGAAGCCATCATCCTCAGAAAACTAACACAGGAACAGAAAACCAAACACCACATGTTCTTCTCATAAGTGGGAGTTGAACAATGAGAACGCATGGACACAGGGAGGAGAACATCACTCACCAGGGCCTGTTGGGGGGTGGGGGACAAGGGGTGGGAACTTACTGGAAGGGTCAATAGGTGCAGCAAACCACCATGACACATGAATACCTATGTAACTGTCTTGCACGTTCAGCACACATATCCCAGAATTTAAAGTAAAATTTAAAATATATATATATCTTGAGTAAGTTTATCCTAGAAGGTGAAAGAGTTATATATGGAAAACTATAAAACACCAACGAAAAAAGTTTAAGCTGACACAAGTATGGAAAGATATTGTATGCTCATGGAGTAAGAGAAAGCTATTATGAAATTTCCAGGCAACCCAAAGTGATCTACAGATTTAATGCAATCCCTATTAAAATTCCAATTTTGTTTTATATGAAAAGGACTTGCACAATTAATTATCAAGGAAACAAATAACTAAATTCAAAAATAAGCAAAGAACCTAAAAAAAAATTTCTGAAAGATATATGAAGGATCAAAAGTATGTAAGAAAAAAGTGCTCAACTTCTAATTATCAGAGAAATGCAAATTCAAAACACAATGAGAGGTTACCTCACACCGGTAGAATAGTTACTATCAAAAAGTCAGTAGATAAGAAGTGTTGGAAAAGAAGTGAAGAAAAGGAAACTGCTACATTGTTAGTGGAAATGTACATTCGTACAGTCATTATGAAAAACAGTATGGAGATTCCTCGAAAAGCTGAAAATACGATTACCATGTGACCCTAACCTGTGAATAGACTTCGAAGACCATCAAGAAGCCAAACTTTTGCACACTGAACATCCAGAAGGAAAGAAAAAAAGGTATCATTGCATGGGTAGCTAAAACTCTGAGGGAAACATATTTTCCTGCTCAGACAAATCAGGAAAAAGCATTTCTGGACCTGGAAGAACATGAGAAATTTCAGAAAGGACCAAGCTGGAGAAGAGGATAGCTGAATTTTGTATATGAACTAACACAAGTCTAGGGTTCACCTGTTAGTTACACAAGTATAGTGCAAAGCCAAGATAGCATAGCAAAGGATTTGAGAACTGAGCTATGATTTGTACCACTATCTAAGTCCCACATTAATGACTGAGTGACTCCTGAACAGGGTGGACCCCAAGCAGCATACCAAAGGTTTTGAAACTGAACCTATATGGAACCATAATCCAAAGAAGGGAAAGGTCACAAAGAAATTTGGGGCATGGTGGACAAGTTAACTATGTTAATGGCCATTTCATGAATACATACATATGTTGAAACACATGTAACTGTACCTTTAAAGATGTGTCCTTTAGAGTAGACATCAATTATATCTCAAATAAAATAATTTTTTTTCAAAAATTTGAAAAAAATCAAATGCTTTTCAATTCGCCAGCCACAAAAAATTAGAAAATGAGCCCGTAATCCCAGCACTTTGGGAGGTCAAGGTGGATGGATCACCTGAGGTCAGGAGTTTGAGACTAGCCTGACCAACATGGAGAAATCCTGTTTCTACTAAAAATACAAAATTAGCTCGTTATGGTGGCACATGC